ACCATCTACTGTACAAAGATCGATAGGCATTAATGTTAAAGCACCATTTTCATACCTAAGATTCACTTCTACAGGTATTCTTTTCCATAACCAGGATTCTTCTAGAAATCAAACAAAGCACAAGCTTGCTGCTTTCTGCTCTGATACTGCTATGTCAATGGTCAGTTGCCACCAAAGAGGGAAAAAGTTGGAGATTTTGTATGTATATATGCACTTCAGTCTTCATATAAGCTCTATCTATTAGACCAGTCAATCCTGTCTGGAGCCAAATGCACAGAGCAGTACTGGATGGATCAATGCAGGAAGCCTGCTATGGAACAATACCAAACCTGATCAAACACTGCAATTCAACTAGATGGACAAATCACAAAACAGACAATGTTTGTGTTTGTAAGTGTTTACAGGGACAGAGGCCCACACAAACTGATCAGATCGTTTGGTTGTGAAGGTATTATTCTTGAAAGAAAAACAAACGGAATCACACAAAAATCACAGCTGGTTTTCTGTACAGTCTTTGAGGCTTTTCACACAAAAGTTTGTGGTGAAAGACTTCCACTGACATAGTGAGATATCAGAGAATCTCAAATGCTGTGGTTTTTTTTTGAAATACACAACATATATCCTATGGGCCTAACTTGGCAAAATGCTTCATCTCATGATCTCAGATGCTGACCCGTAATGAAAGGTGGCTCAGTAAATCTGTTAGTTGAGACTTCCAGTGAGAACAGTAAATTGTGACAGCTTCTCCTGGATAAAGGTACTTGCCCATAGACAACATGCTTCATGTGGCCATCCTAACACACTGAGGCTATAGCATATCTCTAGGACTGAACCAGTGATTTAAAGGCAATTTACATGAATTGCTCCAGTAAAAAAAAATCTGAAATGAGCCACAAAGTGCCTTGCAGGAAAGGAGGCAGGGAGATATTTCTTGTCAAAATTTAAGTAAGGCATAACTCCTTCTTTCCTGATCTAGTTGCCCGCCTCTTGCTTTTTTAAAGAGCTACACTGACATAGAAAATATAAAGATTGTTCCATCCAACAGAAATCCTAGAAGGCAGCTGGGCAATCCTGACTAAAATGAAATATTCTGTTAAAGTAACTAAATAAAGAGGTAACAAAAGGCTGAAGTGGGCTAGACAGCTTAGCATCCCTATCTGGAAAATAACTTGGCATCCAAGTCCCCAGCTACATCCAGGGAGAAGATCAGCTCTGTTTGCCACATCAAACATGGATCAGATTTTTTCTCTCTTCATCTCTTTTCAAATATAAATAGTTCCCATCTCTTAAATAAATTAGTTCAGCTTTGGTTATACAAGCTCTTTCTTTTTTTTCTTTTTCTTTTTTCCTCCAAAGAGGGATATAGATGTTTGTTCAAAAATTGTAAGTAAAATATAAATGGAGATTTTCCATTGCATAGTGGTCCTTCCAAGTAGGTGATGTCCAGCACTGTGTCCATTTTCCTTCCCTCTTCTGGGTATAAGTGCACAACTATGTCAACTTCTGATGGAAAGTTCATGAAAAAATAATATGCAAAAAGACAGAGTTAATGTGTACTTATTCACTGCAAAAGCAAAATAAGTATCAGGGTTAAAGTGCATGGAAAATAAGTACAATAAAATTGCTTGTCAACACTCTTTCTTCTTTTAAGCAGATTTCTCTATGTCCATGCATTGTGTGGAATTTGTGAAACATAGAAATGCTAATTAGCGAAAGACAACAGGTCTTATAAGACCCAGGGCTCCACTTGTGTGTTCCTAGGAGTCAAGTAGCGCCCATGTGGATTTTGTTGTTGCTGGGACTTTCTGCAACAAGATGGGGACTGTAGAGTAGGTCTAAAACATATAGAAAGGTTCACTCTAGCTTCAAACTGTGGTGTTATTTTGTATAATAGCACAGAACATTTTGATTGCGTTTACAGAGATGTAAAACAAAAGTAGGTCGTAAGTGCTTCCATGATGGGATGTGAAGTTTGGCTTTAGGGCATGATTAGCCAAGGGTATGGGTTTTTCTTCCCAAATTATCGTGATGCTTCACATCCTTCCTAAAACTGGCTGTGGTGAGGTGTCTCTGGCTTTGAATCTTTCTCTAGCACAGAGCAGATTATTACTATTATTATTGATTTATGGCATGCCTGTCTGCTTCCAGCCTCAAAACACTTTACTAAGTTACAATATACATAGGAATCATTTCACATCAGCCACCACCACGTTGTAGCCTTCTCTGGAGGGAAACTGAAGGAAGCCATTAGGATGGTGCCTGCAACATTAAACAACAATCCAGGAGAGGAAGTAGAGAATACTCTGGCTCCTTAAAGCAATGGCTCAACAGAATGCAGTCGCTGAACTGCCATCCAGCTGGGACACCAAAGTCAATACTCATTCACCATGTGTGGTTAAAATTAAATCTCCTAATGAAGTGAGATGGTTTTAGTGGTTAGAGAGTGAGTGCAAAGTATTATTCTCCTGTATTATTATTTGTAAGTTATACAGCTAACAAGGGAAAAGTCATACACAGGAAAATAGCAGACAGTTAGATAAGGTTCCAAGCCTAGTTTCTATATGACATCTGAGCAAGTAAAGCTTTGGAAAAATATGTTAAAAAATAAAAAAATAAAAAAATAAAAAAAGGATGACACAGAAGAAAAGGAATTGGCAGCTTCTGAGTGTTTTTAGGGAACAAAACTAGACTGAGCAAAAGTGATGTCAGTTTTATCCTCTGCAATTCAGATCCATATAAAAGAACATTATTAGCTTCTGTAAATGAGCAGGTATTCCCTATACACTGCTACAAATGCTCCTGATCTTTTATTAGAAAAAGAAATGGTAAAGTATTGAGGGAAATAAAGCCTAACAGCTTGCTTTCGTCCCTGAGTCAGTAAAATACTTAGATGGCTTTTTGCATAGGTGATTAATACTTCAACTGAAAAGATGCTCAGACAATGTTATCAAGATCTTTCAGGCTAATTGCTAGTTGGTTCGAATCATTGTTACAAGTGATCATTTGAATGGTTGTTTCTCTTTTACAGCCTCTAAAACTAGCACGAAGAATCTCACTCCATAATGTAATAAGCAGTTCTACAACCAGTGCTTAATTAATTCCCAGAAGTCACCAAAAGAAGCTATTAATTATCTTTCTTTTTATCTAACCATAAATATTCAATTCTCATGGGACAGAGGATTTAAAAAGAACTTTCTGCCAGAACTGTCAACTTGATGTAGCATAAAATGATCACCAATGAGAGTAATTCAAAATATGACAGCAATGCTACCTCGTCTGATTAGAAAGTTAGGTCAAGTTGGATCAAATTTCTCTTAATGGTGTACTTACCAAAATGGGACAGAACTGATAGGTGCAAACCATACTCAACACAGTCGAGTTAGCAAGATAAAAATACTGCAATCTTTAGAAACTAGGAATAGTATTCTGATTTAAAAATCAGCTCTATTTGGGAATTGTCTTTACTGTGAAAATATCAACATTTGTTATAATGAGAATCTGGACAACGTTTCAGATTTGTTTAAAATCTGCATACTAAAAAGAGCAGGTTAATATTTTCAAGAGAGTTAAGTCTTTCAGGAGCCCAAGTATCATTTTCACAAGTAAATCAGGCAGTAGGAAGCCTTTAAATGAAATTAAGTTTCCTGGCAACCCAACCCATTGTTTAAAATTCGATTTAGGCTCCTAAAGGTCTTTGATGTTTTTGCAAATAACACTTCCTGCAGCACTGCAAGGCTGACTAGGTGTAATACAGTCATTTACCCTTCTACCGAGGCTATCAGGAATGGAATCACTTTGATTGTTTTAGTGATGTCTGGGAGTGTTTTTCCGTGCACTATGAAAAAAAATGTACTGAGCATAGCCAGTGATGGCCGGCATCTCAAATCAGAAGTAGAGAGGCAAGAAAACATGCCTTTTTCAAAATAATCTCATTTAGTCCTTTGGGTGCTTGTGATGCCACTGAAGGCTGTGCACTGGCGTGTCCCACTTCTAGAGGAACTTCATGAACTACTGGGCACTTGCTCTACTGCAGCTCTCTGCAGTCTCTATTTCCTGTTGAAGCAATCACTGTGGCACCTATACACAGAAATCTGAAAGATACTGCCCCAGACCCAGCTATTATAGTTCCTCCTATATGTATCAAGACCCACTCTAAGAGGACTTTCCATGTCTCCACTCTCAAATATTCCCTGGAGTAGTCAAAGAAGAAGAAGTCCTCAGATCTTCAGGACAGTGCTTTTAAGTCCCTTTACCTGTGGAAGGACCCACGTTCCTAGTTAAAAATGGAGGTTGCAGATCGCTCCATGAAACATTGAGGAACTCGCTGTTCCAATCATTTTAGAGAACCAGCAAGTTCCCTTAAACTGGAAAATTTTAATTTCAATCTTTGATAAAACTTTTTTTTTTTTTTTTTTTTTTAAGTTGGAATTTCCTATGGAATAGAAATTATTTTCTACTCAACAGAGCTATTCACATGGAAGCATTTTCCTATTCATTCCACTTTGCAACTAACTGGTGCCACTCCATATGTACAGCTCTTCCAAGAATGATGTGGCAGCCCTGGAATACCTAATTAGAGTTGGGCTGTATGATAGCTCTGCCAGAAATTTCAGCTTCCAGAGGCATTCCTTTAAGGAACTGTGGTGTGGGTTTGGCATTTACAAGGATACATACAGTTTCAGAAGCCCACAGGCACCAAAAGTTAGTCTGCGTTGCACAGCTGACTCATGTCAACCCAGTCACTGAGCTTAACTACAGTAAGTCAAGCAAACTCCTTCAAAGCACTCAAGAAGAAAGCTTCTGTTTGTTGGTTGTTTTTTTTTTTTTTTTTTTTAAGTAAAACTTTGTCTTTAAGGAATCTTAAAAGAATATTCAATTTGTACAGCTATTTATTATGAAAATAATTACATTCAGACATTTCTAGTGAAAACACCTTTTTCACTTGGCCATCCAATGTTTACAGATTGTTAAGGCAAATGAAAGATATCTAAATCCAATACCTTTATACTTGGTCACCACAGCTGAGTTGACACTCAGAGGTTCTTGGAAGGTGACAGTGAGTGATGTACTGCTTGTTACCATGAGACAGACGTTGGTTGGCGCCTCAGGGGCTCCTGGGAGAGAAGAGAAAACATCAGCTCTTCAGCACAACAAATCCTATTCAAACAATGTTTCTGAGTCTTCAAAGAACCCCCTGAAAATCACCCTGCAATTGTGAGCTTTGGGTTGTAGGTGTTTGTGTTCTCTGCCTTTTGAGAATTTTAATTAGTGCCCTGCTAACAATATCCTGCAGACACCATTTGTTTCTATCATGGTTTTTGGCTCCTTTCAGTTAAAAATATCTTCCTGCATATATGTAACCTAATAAAACAGATTCATGCTAATTATGTCAATGAAAAGCCCCTATAAATCTCTTGGGGTGGATAGGAAGGAGAGAAAGGACAAAACCACAAAGAGCTAATTAAACCTTTATAGTTTCACTAACAAATTCAAATTTATTAAATGACAGAAAACCTTTTTACATTATTGTGATCCAGAAATTGCAGATTCCACAAATGTTTCAGTGCAGTAGTTCCAAAACACATTTGTCAGTTGAGGCCTAATTTTTTTTTACTATTATTGTTTTGTTTTGTTAGTTTTTTGTTGTTGTTTGTTTGTTTGTTTGTTTTTAAAAGAAGCTGAATTCACAGAGTATCAATTAGACTCAACTCAGAAATCAAACCTAAAATGTCATGACTTACTGCTGGAACCGATTAAAAAAATCATTATATTAACTCACTGCTGTATTGGCTGTATTTAATATCTAATACAAGGAGCATTACCTCTGTCTTGAAGAAACAATCTTAGAATACAATAAAATTAAGAAAATTTTTCCAAGTATATACATATATAAAGGTGGCTGTAAAAACGTTAATGGCAATGATTGTATTTTATTGAAGAGGAAGGGTACAGCTAAAAGATCCAAATATGAAAGAGTTCAGTCCTGTTTATTCCTTTCTATGGGTTCAAATTCCCATTTTCTTTAAACAGTTCTGTATCTGAGTCTGTACCCCAAGTAGCCCAATTTGTAACTATGCTGATGAAATGTTGCATGTAGATGCCAACAATAAAAATAAGTATTGATGATTTTTATATGAAAAATCTAATCTAAGTTCACTTTTAACCAAATATTAAGAAAAACTCAATTACTTTAAGTCAGAACTATTTAAAAAAATAGAGTACAACAACAGAAAAAGACCAGTGTTCCTCTATTACTTCCTCCATATTCATATATTTTACTTGTCTTATTTTAAATTCTGATCATATGAAATAACATCCAGAAGTAAATGCGAAGAGACAAGACAGAATCATTAGATCCTGAACTAAGAATCTCATCTGATCAGTTTTACACTGATGAGCAGTGCTCTTGCTGCCCTCAGATATTTGGTCCTTTCTGGAACTAGTATCAAATTTCCTTCTCACTTTTGGGAAGACCATTTAACTGAGTGCCTTATTTTTACCCCCCTAACATTCATCTGCTTCACAGCAGTGCTGTGAGGATCATCTTTGCTCAACAAAGGCAGCGTTTGCCACTGTAAGAGTTCTTGTCTTAAACTTTGCAGCTACTTTCTTCTACTTACTAGCATGCTCGTAGCCTGCCTTCATGCGCTTGTATAGCCTGTATCTCCATTCCCATGCTTTTAGTTGCTTCTCTTTTTCTGTGTTGTCTGTACCAAGGCCTTCATTCATCACTTGTGCAGACAATTCAGTAACTCGCTGCTGTGCTTCCTGGACCAATGTACACAGATGCACTGACCTGCTTTCCATGTTAACAACTACCAAGAAAAGGGAAAAGTAAATAATTGCTTGATAGACTCATGTGACAAAATTCTGGCCTTACGCATTCCAACATAACCCACATAAGGCCAGATCCTTGAACACTGTGCCTTCCAACAGATACCTTGTCATCAACTTGATTAGAGCCACACCAATTTGTACCACACTTAAGAATCTGGCCACTTAAATGGGACTAATGACATGAATAAACAGTAGATTTTATCTTCTGGTGTTTCTCAAATGCTTAACAATGTCTTAATTAGCCTGAAATTGCTTACATGTTTTAGGTTGATAGAATACTATAAAAGAAGAAAAATAATAAAGAATTTGGTCTCTAACTCTTACTTTGCCATAATATCATATGTTTTCTCTGGAAGAAAGAAATTGGTATTGGTTATAGCTGAAAACAATATACAATATATAAATCTCTGCAAGTGAAGAGAGACCTAATTGGGAAAGTTAAGAATGAGGGTTTTGTGTTTAAGGGCCACAGCTGAAGTACAGTGATTCTCTTTCCAGGTTATCTTTGTGCCTCAGTGTTGCCCATGTAATTAGTTCTCTGACAGATTTGATGGATAGTGAGCTGTTGGACGTGTGGAGATTTTGTTATTCTCAAGTGCTCAGAATGATTTTAATTCAACATTAATTAGTATGAATTGCCTGTATGAACTACTGTGTGCTATATGAAGGTGAAAAATGACAATCACATTGGATATAAACTAAAATGTCTTAGCCCAAGTCCACAAGACTGCCCTACTCCAGCCCCTTGATGATACAGAGAAATGTAGTGAATCAAATGCTATTCTTCAGAACTGCTTTTAGCCTGAAATTGTTCAAACTACTAACAGTTTAGAAAATAGGACTTGTAAAGCTGTTTAATCTGAGAAGTGCAAGAACTTATCTGATGTTCAATCCGCAGGAAATAACACACAAGAAAAAGAATTCTGAAGTCACAGAAAGCAGCTTTTCTTTGGTGCCTGGTAATTTTGCAGAAGAGCTTTGAGACAGTTCTAAACAAAACCCCTTATTTATTTAAAACACTTCACAAGGATTCACATTTACTTAGAATTGGCACAGGATGCTACTCTTAACAATAATGGAGTGTTGCTGTGTAGGGACAGCCAGCCTGTTAGTCTTCCTGTGTTTTTTATAGGAACAGCAGCAGTGTTGCTTCACCACCCATTTACTTGCATAAGCTAGGAGCAGTATTTCTGACAACATGAAGCTGACGTAAGGGACCAAGGCTGACTGGCTTTTGACATCATAGTACCATATGAGTAACGATATCTGCACATATGAATGTATAATTCCTAAACTGGAATCATAGGATTACAGGATAAATTGAATTGGAAGGGCCTTTCTAATTATTTTGTTCAAAATTTGATGTTCAAGCTTCTTGCTGAAAACAAGATCAGCTGCAAGTTCAGGCCAAGTTTCTGAGGACATTAGCCATCTGGCCTGGAAAACTTCTTGAGATGGAGCTTTACAAGCTCTCCGGGCAATATGTACAACTGCTTTTCTATCCTGCAATTGAAAAAGGTGTTTGTTTTATCCAGTTTGAATCTCATTTTAATTTTACCATTTGTCTCGTGTAACCGTATAACAATTGGAATTTATCATAGTCTAAGTATAATGCTGCACAATAATGTGAAAACTGACAAGGAATCTTTAAAACCACAGGAGGAGACTGAAGAATTACCCAGCACCTCTGACATCCAAAGGTTGCTTTTGAAGAATGGCTGTTTCTAAGACCTCGCTTTCAGAAGCTGGCCTGTAGCCATCCCTCTTGCAGTTTGATCATTCTTTGTATGGACATCAAGAGGCCAGGCTTACTGGAATCTGCTGGTATCCTCACAACTGGCTGTTTACTGAGAGGCCAAAGGTGACAGTTTCCTGGCTCCATGCCTACAATAAGCGTGCAACACATCTGATAGCAAAACAGGACCGAGAAAGGAGATTTTATGTGCCAGAACTTCAGGTGATTGTAGATTGGCATTGGTTCAAGATTTCACTGAGGATCTGGCTCTCTCTCTTTCATTAAGATTCAGATCCACAATTGTCTGGTCTTGGAAATGTATCAAATCAGTCGTTGGAAATTTTAATCTTATTTATATTTAGGTTCACATGAACAAACCTAGCCAGACCACAAATATGTGAACAAAAGTAACTGAAAAGATTAATAATGCAGTGGGCTTTGACAAGAGCAAATGCCTTGCTTCCTCCCCACTAAATTAATATTCTAGATGCTGCATTTTCTGATCCTGCTTTGTGTTTAAGAAATGCTGGGCTCCTGTTAAGATTTATACAGCCTGAGGTCCATGTGGAAAAGAAGATCAGAGTTTTACTTTCTGTTCTTTTATCTGCTGTTCTGCCTATTCCAGGCAGCTGCAAGCTATCTGTCCTTCAGATCCTCTCTCCTACAGCACTATAGTGAAATTTCAACTTGATCTCTGTGTCTAATATAGTAGAAGAACAACAGTTCTCTCTTTGAGAAGCTTCCTGTGTGCACTTGCAGTGGGGAAATCATTTACCTCTCAACCTCTTAAGTGTGTGCATTTGTGCTATGCACCAGCTTACAGTCAGATTAAAAGATGTTTGTGTCCTGTCCCAAAATTGGTATGAGTCAGAATCTTACCTTGAAATCCCACCCCTCCCACTTAGCCTGGCAAAGTCTTGCTCAATTGATCACCATAGTGAAATGAAAATGCTCCTGCTGGGTTCTAATCATATCCTTGCAGGCCTAATATCATGCAGAATGGGTTTAATTCTAAAAGGCTTGGTTAGGTACAGAAAAGAAAGCAGAAACAGTAAAGGGAGAGGAAAAAATAAAGTGGCTGCTGTCTGTTCCCCAGGATTAAAGCCACATAGGAAACTGCTGCAGACCTTTGTTTTAAGTGCTGAAAACAACTTTTTGCAATTTGTTCCTAAGTAGCAACCGTAAACCATTAAGCTGAAAATTAAAAAATAAAACACACCAAAACAGTCCTCTGCTTTTTATTGAGGACATTTTGACCATTATTTCAATCAGAAAAGCTAAAAATCAAGATAAGTGAAGTGGAAATTTGGTGGGTATATTTTGAAATGGAAATGAGGTGGTTATATATTCATATTCTCTGTGTTCATAGGCATGTTTGCATTAATTACAGGAAATGAATACTAATTTATGATTGCCCCTGCTCGCCATCAGACTGCATTTATTTACAGATGAGGTCAATGAAAAATTAGTTTAGTCTTTTTTACTGCTGTTTAGAACACTCAAGACTGTGTTTTCCTCTAGATTTGTCATGGTTAATGAATGTTGCTTCAGCAGTCAATCATGTACTCTAAATGCTGTCACACTTTTTTTTAAAGCCTCAGTCATGAACCATGACAGAAAAATAAACAAATAAATATAAAGCTAAAAAAATCTTTTCACTGAGCAGCTACACTATGCAAAAATCTCCAGGGAAGGTTAAAGGAGGCCAGAATAAATGATAATATAAGTGCTGTGGACATAGAAAAGCAATAAAGGTGTACCAACACTGAGGGTCTGGCAAAAAAACTCAACATGCACACACACACATGCACACACGCTCTCCAGTGAAAAAACTGGCAATGTTAGTAGCCTCAAGGTGCAATTTCCTGGAGCACTGAGATTGACATGCCAGCACTAAATGTTGTTAATTTAACTAACTTCAAATTAATGGCAGAGTCTGCAGTGGCCGAACCCCTCAAACACAGTCTCATTATAGCCTTGCTGGGAATGTCCTAAATATAGGCATTGACAGTTTAAAACAAATTCACATACATTGGTGTATTTTTAGACATAAGTAAGGCGTCAGAGTTTGTGTCATGGTTTACGGTTGATTAATTGGTTTGGTAAGTCACCCTGCAGCCCACAAATTGTGCATTTAAATGCCCGTGAAGGAATACAAAGGATAGTTCTATAACTACAATATGTAGTTATAAGCAATGATAGTATTCCAGTGAAGTGTGAAGGTCTGTTTTGTGTTCAGATATCCTCTGGTTCTCTAGAGTTTGGAAACTCTCATTGAGGCTATTTGAAGAGAAGGGTTGAGGAGATAAGAGCAGGAGTCTGAAGTAATGGAAATGATAGATTTCAACACAACCAGCCTTCTGAAGGCAGCATAACCAAGATCAAAATAATCAGAACACACCATAGCCAAGATAAACCATAATCTTTTCATTTTTAATGACAACCTCTGTTTCAGACCATGATCACTCCATTCCTGTCTCCATATTTTTGAAGGTTTATTTTCAGTATTGATATTAACTCAGCTGCCTCACTGTTTATTAGGTTAGAAGTTCCATCAGATTTATAGTTAATCTACCTGATATAGGGAACAAAAACTATTTGCTGAGCACACGTTCAACAAGAAGATATTTCTGCAAATATCCTTCCAGCACCGTGCTACTATTTCAGGTATAATCAACTCCGTGATAAAAAAAAGTCAGATTTTGTAACACAATTAATTTTCCCAAACAAGAGCAAACCTAATTTTTACAGAATTATCTAAACAAATTCAAAATGAATACTTACAGTGTGGGCTTTCTTTTGCCCCAACATGTAGAAGAGTCCTAGCAATAGGGATGTTGTTAGTTAAGATGGCAATATCCAAAGGAGTAAGTCCTTCACTGTTTGGAGTATTCAGGTCCAGTTCCTCTGGTGTGTATTGATAGAGAAGAATCTGAACAGCATCCAGATCTTGCTGTTCTACGGCCTCAAACATAGCTTCATTGCATTGGAAATTCTGTGTACCAACAAAAACAGAAATTCAGTAGAACTTGAAAATGTTTGAACTTTAGGAAATAAATTATGGAAAATGACTTTTGTGAGATTACTATAAAATATTGAACCTTCCCATCCTAAGTTTAGCTAGAAACATGGAAGATGTTTGCAGCAAAACTGAGCTTGCTCTACTTCTAGACCTGTGTGCTTGAGCTTCTTTCAGGTAAGATTCAAACCCATCATTCTTTTTTGGACTTGAAATTGACCGTATGGGCAACAATGTATGTGAAGCTGGATGAAAGACTATGATTTTGACAGGTTCTTGTACTACTTACTTTTTCATTCTCTAAATTTAAAGTAAAAACCTAAGGTGTACAAACTCAACTAATCAAAAGTCAAATGAAACAGTTCTGGGGGAAACTTTCACAGGTGCGGTGTGATCTAGTGCTCACTCCAACATTTCAGTCATTTCTAGGAGCTCACATTTTTGTATTTTGCTTGTAGCTAGAAGAAGCTCTGAAAAATACAGCCCTTAAATAAAGATGTAGAAATAAGACTGAATGCACTGATCCTCCAGTGTGCTTGATCAGAAAAAGACGTCTGAACAGCAGAGAACATAAGCTCAAAAGCAAGTAAGAAAAATGAGGAACACATGATGCCAACTCTCAAGCAGGAGGAGCCACTAAACTTTCTGTTTACCGAAGTCATGGAGATAAAAGAACTGTGTAATACAAAACAAACAAACAAACAAACAAACAAACAAACAAACAAACAAGAACCCAAACACCTTTCATTTCTTAATAGAGCTGGGGAGAAGGAGGTGCAGGAGGATGGTTTGAAGGTTTCTGTTATGAGAACATCCTTCCAGAGCCTACAGTAATTATGTGATTTGCCAGGATTCTTTAAATTCTTTCCCAGTGTCCTCTTGCCATAATTATTTTTTTTTTTTTCCTCTTAAGAATGAATTAGTAGAAGCAAGAGGCCCAGCTAAGCAAGGAGGGCTCAGCTTGTGGTCTCATAATGGAACTGAGATCTATGTAGAAATACTGTGCCAACGGACATACTAAAAAATGCTTACATAAGAGATCAAGTGATCCAGATACATGTAAACTGGTTTCCTGCATCCCAGAACCCACAATAGAAGAAACACACTGACTACTGAACAGTCACTTTTTTGTTATTGTATGAATTAAAGAGTGAATTGAAGCTGTTGTCTATTGTGATTAACATCAACATTTCACCCAAATAAGAAAAATTATTTTTCCTTTCTTAATGGATGCATTTTTAATTTGGAATACTCTAGCCTAAGTTTTCAGTGAAACAACACTTTCTGACAGCACTGATCTGCTGGAACATCTTTCATTTCCTCCCAAAATATATAGACTAAGGGTTTACAAGTGGTTCTTGAGTACACAACTACAAGCTGGAACTTGATTTGGTTTTTTCAGTTGTGCTTAAACTTAGAAATCTCTTCAGATATTCTATGACCTGACAGAGATCTTTTTGTCTACTGCTTTAGATGTAAAGTATTCATATCACACTAAGAAACTGCAAAGATTATGTTACCTTTGAAGTTTTAATATGCTGAATATTAGGAATCAGCAGAACCAAAAGGTTACCCCAGATTTTCAGTACAGAGAAATGAGATACTTCAGTTTGATGATTATCTGTGGATGACATGAACTGAGCAACAAGAAAGTAAATCCAGGACAGTAGTGCTGACTTGGAAATAAACCTTTCAGACTATTGAATAGAAAAGATAAATCACTCTGGAGAAATAGTTTATATGTAGATTTCCAAGCAGAATAAAAGACAATACTTAAACAAGTGTTTCATAAAAAATGAGTATCTATCAAGTTCTTGTTTTCAGATTCTTCTCTAGATTCTGGGACTCATATGTCACTTTACTGTCAAGTACTCAGGATCCTACTTCAGTTTCAGGTGGAAGAGAAAAATCTGAGAATAAACTAAATGGTGAGCAGCTAAATTTATCATTCTCTATTTATGCCTCTGTTCAAGGGAAAAAAAATTGTCCTTCAGGAAGTAAACCACCATTACAGAGGGCACATCTCCAGTGAAGTTTGGAAAGGAGGCCAGATGTCTATTATTTTAAGTTAAAAATGACAAATTTTTATTGCAGTGCAGCCATGTTTTCTTTCATTCCAGTAGTCCACAAATCTGCTCCTGTATCAAGATGACAGATCTTAGCCTTATGCTGGTGTTTTCCCCCCAGTCCAAAGAGATGAGGTGCATTAGCTAGAAATCAAAAGAGGCTTAGTTTAATTTAATTACAAAATATTTTAGTTAATTGTGTTATTCTACACATGCTAAATGGCATCGACTCCCACTCAAGTCAATTCTCTACATTTAACAGCTGCACATCACTGTGTTGTGTACTCAAAATTACCATAAATAGAGCACTGATTGAAGTAAAAAGGCCATGCTCTTTAAATTTTTGAAATTTCATTATTTCAATCGAGTAACTGTGAAATGGAAGATGTTTTTCATATGACTGATTAGAAAAGTAGATATTTTTGGTGAAATGTTTAATATATTTTATCTACTTTATAAAAGACATTAATTTCATCTCATCTTAAACTCATTTCAAATTCTTTTCCTACTTACTTTGGAACTTCCTCTGTGCTGTTATTTAAGGAAATAATTGGGAATTATGCTTCAGAAGCATCTCCATGTTCATGCAACCAGAAAGTAAACAAGAACAAATTACTCTTGTAAGTGATCACAGGAAATGAACTTACTTAATAGTTAATTCATAAAGAGCTTATTACAAAGGCGATTAGTTGAAGTAAACAGAATGACTACATTAGAACTCATTTCTATTCCTTAAGTTCATTTGAAGAAACACTGGCAATCACTCGGGGAGCAGAAAAGAAAGGTAGAGCTGGTTATATTAATCAGTGACAGACTTGTGGTACGGATTCAGAACAGGAAACTAGGTATTTCTCTATTCAGATTTTCACTTTGTAGCTCTGGGTACGTGCACTGTTTCCATTTCTTTTTAAAATCAAAACAGTCACCCTCTTTTCATTGGCCTTGTGATTGTGCAGAAAGGTTCAGTGAGTTATCATCTGTAGAATGTCACTGAAAGCACTGGAGACCATTATTTAGCTTTAATTCCAATTCTGCGTGAAACTCAATAAATCTGTACTACACAGCAGAAATTTCTTGCATTATATAAGAACAAACAAAAAAACCCTGTTACATAATAATGAAGATGCCTGAATTCAGTATTGCAGCTGAAATTAACTCTGTGATGTGGCTGACAGAAGCATTTGGCCCTTTTCCAAATACAGATACATACTTCGACAAAAGATTTTACCTACCTGAACAATTCCTGTAGAATTATTTTCCAAACTTTGATTTGACTTATTATTTTTGGATTCATTGTCAAGATTTAAACCTGCATAGATGTCTTTAAAAAGGCATCCTCAGATTTTTACTTGCCAACCCAAATACCTAAAGTATTTCTGAAGTTTTCTCCTGAAGTAATTTGCCGTACAGAATATAAGCACATGCTTAAGTTAGTTCCTTATAAATACTCTGGCCAGGGAATCTACTGGCACAAACATTCCACCAAACACACAAAAATACAACCAAATTACTATTTCTTCATTTCATTAGAAATCTAATTGAAAAAGTTGCACTCATTTAAACAAGAAACAGAGCATTAAGTTTATAACCTACTTCTTCCAATCCAAATAATTTTCAGACCAAATTGCAAATATCAGGTCTTCCAAATGAACAATTCAGACACAACCATTAGTCTGAAATATGCTGGCACTTCTCGTAACTTCAGAGATTGTAAAAACATGGAACTATGATATGACGTTTCCAAATAGGCATATATGTATCCCTCATCCACACAGTAGTGTGCATCTAACCATAATAGACTTATTTCACTCAAAAAACACCCTGGTGAGACAGTGAAATAGCTACCACATTTTCAGCCATGCTAATAATTGTCCCATTTGAAAGCCTGCACTGAGCCCAGCCTTCCAAGCCCAGAAAATGTTCTGTGCTCCTGACCAACTTTTCCACAACTATTTGCTTTCACATAGAAAATAGGAATATACTTGAATATTATATTGTTCTCTGCTGCAATAAAGCTGATTATATTCTTATATAAGTGACTCTAGAATCGCAGCATTGTTCAGATCTTTGCAGTTCAAGATTTCAGGGCTAAGAAATTCATATGGGGTAAGATGTACTGTCTTCAGAAGCACATGTTCAGTTTCAATCCAGCAGGTATTGTCACTAATATTAACAAGACCCTTCTGATTTCTGCCTTCATCTACATTTGCTAGATAATTCTATTCCTCTCTGATTAGACAAAGTCACTGAATTCAAAGAGAAACTCAATCCCATTTACAAGGGATCAGGTAAAGTTTAGGAACATGTCTTTTTCCTTGATGCTGTCTTGCAGCCTCTAATCGTTAGCTAGGCAGCTGTGCTATGTGATTAATTTATTTAGGTGTTACACCAGTGCACAAATATATATACTGAAAAGAACTACAGTATTGCTTTGCAGTAAGTAATAACCATGTTCCAGTAAGTGATTCAGGGCTGTTAGTGTTTAGAAATGCAATCTTATGTAGCTTAATTAAAATGAAGTGCCCCTTTCAAGATATTTGCTCTAGGTTAGCCTGAAAAAGTCTACTATGTGCTACTGGAGTTGGAAAAAAACATTAAAGTAGTTTCTGCAAAGACTTGTTTTGATAAACATGAGTTCAAGAATAAAGCTATTTTGGGACATTGCTATGTCTGCAGCAAGACAACAATTTACTGAATGGAAAGTATTGCACAGTAAGAGAGAATGGAAAGAAAACTCTTCACCAGCCAAAACTGGGGAAAAAAAAATCATCAAATTCTAACAAATGTTATTCACTTGTCTGGAGACATGCTTTTAGTCACTGACTTACCTCTGTACCACAGAAATCCAATGATTAGAAAATACATCAGCTAGCTACCTGGAATATTTCCAGCCCTTAACTGGTGGTTTGCTTGCCATTTGTTTCTAGGGAAAACTGTGAAAAAAGCCAGGCATAACAGACAGAAAGGGTCCCAGAGCCTTTTAAGTTCAGTGGGAATCTATTCACTGACTCTTGTGGACACCAGCTCAGACCCTAGACTGGTAATATTCAGAGATGCTTACACTCATTGTAGGTCTGCAGTGACAGAAGCTGCATCACTCACACAGTAGTGCAGTGGTTGAGGTGAAAAAGTTAGCTGAAGCATCTGTTGCATTAAAGCACCAATATAACAATGTAAAATTGATTCTCCTCATTAAACTGATTGAATAGTAACTATTCACAGCCTGATAGATCTTCACTGAAAAGGAGGTAAGTGGGACTACAAGTACATAGCTCTGTGGATAGCAGAGGATTGAAGCCTCAACAGTGCTTTGCTCCTCAGACCTTGGGCTATCTCCATTTGCCATTTCTCATCACCTAAATGTGACAGAAGAATACATATTTGAAGGAACATGTAATTAGAAATATATATTTAGAGAAGCACTGGTCAGAAGATAAAGCATCTGCTGTAGTACATCAGAGTAATGGCTCCAAGATGTGACTTCTGGCACATTTGCACACACTGTCTTAAGTCGCTACTATTCATAAGTGGAGAGGATCTCCCTCAAAATATTTCAGAAGAGAAGATGAAAAATGCATTTTCCTACTTATGGAAAAGAGAATTTACTTTTTTTTTTAAATGGCAATATCAACAGTAGATTTATTTTCCTCCAGCAAATATAAAAGATTCTGTTATGCACTGAGCTTACACTGTTATTACTTCACAGACATCCCATTCTTCAAAATGTATATGCTGTAGGTTGTACAGCTTTACCATCTCTGGCACAAGTAGGAGCACTTGTGGGTATTAAGTCCAGTGGAGACAAACATGCTTTCCTGTACTAGCACTAGAATGCCTGGCTCTGTTCTGTACTAGTGTAGAGCACACAGGCTATACTGCTTCCTATGTAATCTTTTTCACAGTCTTATCTAGTGACCATCATCACAGTCTCTGACCAACCTTAATGTTAAGTTAAGATCTTACTCCTAAGATAAAGCAAGTTGCTTTGGCCTTCAAGAAGGTCAGACTATATTTTGACATAGGATCAAAAACAGGTTTAAGCTTGAGAAGAATATACAGCAGGGAATATTGGTCAGGAAACAGATGAATTGTGATGATGAAAAGTATACAGATTTATAGGAAGGGAACTTGACAAAAATGTCAAGTATTTACCATCGAGGTCTTACGGAGACTGAGCCGGTCTGAGCGCGCTCGGAAATATGCTTCATCAAAGGATGTATGGCTCCCCTTCAGCTTCTCTGACAGGTTCCGATACAATCGCTTTGCAGCATTTGGAGAAGATGGCATACTGTTCTTTTTACTCTGGAGGAGACTTAAATTATGCATTTGCTGTGTCATTTTCACCTAGTAGTTTCTAGAAGAAAAACAACAGCTGTTCAACAAGATTTTCTTACATTAACATCATTGATCAGAACTGTATCACTGGAATATATGGCAAGACTTCTATGGCAAAAATCCCTTTTGTGCACAGTTTTAATGTTTATAAAGAAAGTTTCAGTATTCCAAAGCCATTTGATTCGAAATACCACTCAGGTAATAGTAAACTCATGAGAGAGAGCAATTTGCATTCACTGTACAAACCCTAATATAATAAAGAAGAGGACAAGAAAAACACAAGTAGATCCAACCAACACTTAATTCAATCCTAGCTTAGCATATTCCACTGTGTTTGCTTTGGGATTTTGTTTTTATACCAAAAGCAGCAGATTCAGTACCTCCAACTGTCATGACATTACATTATGGAGAGGTTCCAAGCTTCGTTAAGCCTGTAGGCCAAATGGGAAACTTACTGAGAAGCTGTGTAGACCGTTAGAAAATTTACATTAAATAAATTAGGTTTATCCACTTAATAGGACTTCTCAAACCTACTGTGGTATTACTAAAACCAAACAAAAAATGCCTGTTATAAAAGTCAACATAACTTATGCCTTTATCAGTCCTCTGTAAAATCTCAAGTTTTTCTTCCATTAGGAACCAGCAAATCTAAGGAGAAACTAAATTCTGTAAAAAATGCAGCTATTCAACAATACAACAGATGGTATCTTTGCTATCCACACAGAATCAGTGCATCAGAAATGACTCGAAAAAGACAAATGTGTGTTTCCTGTATGCTGACACCATCAGAACACTGTAGCAGTGTGTGGAATAAATACAGGGAAACAAAGCAACTGCTGGAAATCTAAAGCAAATTATCTGTATTTTTGACCACTGAGATGCAAGACACTACTGAAGATCATCATACTTTACATATTTTCAAGTCACATATAAGGCATGGAATGAAAAAAATGAAAGGTAAATGCAAGCTGCATAGTCTAGAAAACCTGTAAGGGGATCTTAGTAAGCTGTTAAAATGACTCCTAAGGGACCAATGGAAATAGGATCAGGCAAAAATAAGTAATAACTAAAACAAAGATCAACTTACATAATTCTGTTGCTTATTCACTGAACACCAGCATTTCATTTTTATAGATGTAAGCCATTTTGTAAGAGTAAGTTAAGGCTCTAATTTCAAGTCATTTGTGCCCCCTGCTCCAGTATGAGGACACTGTCCTCACATCACCCATCAGGTGTGTTTTTGGATTTCACACTGCAGACTGAAGTAACAAACTCTGCACTGAATGATGCTAGACCTGATATGTCATTGTGACAACTAATATTGTTACAGCATATCCCAGACTAAAAGCTTAGAAACAGGTGATCTCCAGAATGGAGCCATTGGAGATTTTTACATACGGACACCTCTGCACACAGCCAGCATATGTCAAAATTAAACAAGTAAGGAGATCTCAGCATGGTTCTGAGCATCCCTGAGTGATCTTACTAACATTCTTATAGCAAGTCACAAACCACAACAAGCACATTGCACTGTTTCTTGGTAAAGGGCAGAATTGACCAGGGTAAAAACAGCAGCAGATCCTAAGTGTGATTTTTGCATTTCCAAGAATTAAAAAAAAAAAAAAGTTTATGGCAATGGTTCCAATAATAAATAACCTGAATCTCTGGGGAAACTACCCTGGAACTAACCACTAACACACACCTCATCTTTGTGACTACAACTCTGGAATAGCATTAACCAGACCAGTGGCAGAAGTCTTCATACACACATTCTCACTGCACATACTGTAGTTTGTTCTTTGTGATCTGATTTCTGCTTTCACATCAAAGCATGAAGTAACCTTTTATTTCCTAACAGCAGGGTGCTTCAAAGGTCAAATAAAAATGTTATCCTTGTAAAAGCATTTTGAGGGGGATTGGTAAATACTGACATAATGTCCTCTTAGGACATCCATGTCCTTTCAAAACCATATTTCAGAGCGAAAAAAAAAAAATCTAAATTATACATCATATTTTATGTGGCACAAACATGCTGCACTGTATCTACAGGTAAGCTAGGACACAGCATAGCTGTAAAAGAATTAATTTCATATCTTAGGAAAGCAAAAGCTAAGATGCCATTCTGCACTTTACATGCTCTTAAATATGATCATTACACAATTTTATACTTGAACTAATAATTAAGAATATATATGTTGAAAATTAAACTTGACTTACCAGCTGTTCAAGGCAAAACGTGATCAAGTTGGTGGTAATTGTCCACTATCTTCACTGAATGAATCACATTGGCTTTGCTGTCTTTGCTGGTTCAGCCTCTGGGCAGAATGAGCAAACCTCTTCCTTACACTTCATGAATGATCAGAAATGAAAAGATTATTAATAGCTATTACTAAAATCCAAATTGACTGGTAAGATCTCAGGCTAAAACAGGATTTAAAGCAAATAGTGTTGTATCACAGGTAATATCACATTTGGTGCCTCGACTCTATGATGAACACCTAAAGCTTTTGCTACCAGTCAAAGATGCCATGACTTCTCTATGCTTTTAGCTTGTTGAATTCCTTGAAATTGATCAGCAGCACAGCATGCAAGGACAATAATTACTGCCAGAGTAAACAAAACTGCAGTTGTCATTAAGTTGCCATAAGATATGACCAAAAAGGCATTAACACAGCCATTGGAAAGCAGTTAGCTTTATGTTCAAACAATAAAAGGAGAAAAAAAGAACCCCAGTCCTACACTCTGTCCAGTAACGCATGTTGCATGTGATGTATTGTTTCTTCTGTCTTCAGGTAGGCTACCATTACAGCTGTCTGCATTAATAGCAACAACAGCAGCAGCCATATCCATAGCTATGGGACATCTACAAGATCATTTGAAAGCTCCCAGCCTAAGCAGGTTATGTTTAAAAATGAATTCTAGATGAATAAGAAAAAACATATTTTACTGATGCCTTCATTTCAGCTAAAAGAGATCCTGTAATGTTAATATCTGCTTTAATATCTTCCAAAATAGGAGAACAGCGATATTTCAAAATATGCATGTATTATTATTATTATTTTTTTTTTTACTAAAGGGCAAATAGGATTAACACTGGGTCCCATAGAAATCCATAACGCAGAATAAGGAATAACCACAGCCATAGAAATCTAATAATAATGGAAGTGACGAACAAAACTAAACAACAGTTTATGAAATCATTAGTCTTCCTGAACAGTGCACTGGGCTCATTAATAGAACATTCCTGTTTAACATCTGGAATGAGAAAAAAATGAGATACTCATTTCTGGGTCTGTCATAGCAAATAATTGTTTATATCTACAGGAGAGGTGTGGGGAGGAGTCAGTGGGTTTTTTTTTGTTGTGGTTGTTACTATTAGTTACTTTTTCAAATTGCTTTTAAAGGGATACCAGAGCCACTGTTACATTAAAAAAAAAAATCACTGATTTTATTCAGACGTGGTGCTTGATTTTGGAAAATGTTGGAAGCATTCTCCGACACTTCAAAAGCTCAGATAAAGGCTGCCCAGGGGGGTTGTGGAGTCTCCTTCTCTGGAGATATTCAAGACCCGCCTGGACACTGACCTGTGCGACCTGCTGTAGGAACCTGCTTTGGCAGGGGGTTGGACTGGATGATCTCTGCAGGTCCCTTCCAACCCCTACGATTCTGTGATTCTGAGTGATTCTGTGATAAAGGTTCTGAACTTCATTCCAAACAGCATCCTTCTGCAGAAATAACTGAAGATAAAGCCTAGCCCTCGGCCTGGCATTGATCTGTCACAAGACTTGAACTTATATACTTTTTATTCTACGCTGTTCTATAATATACTTTCTATTCTGTACTTTAAAAATTAGTGTGGATATGCTCCAACCCTCTCTCTTTTTTTTTTTTTTTTTTTTTTTTTGAGGGATATATTTTCTCTCTCTTTGTAAGTATATGAAAACATGCATACATGCACTTCAAAGACTTCCGACATGAATATCAAATTCAAACACCTGAACGCTTTGTTGCAACTGAGACTTATAGAGCACTCTGAAAATACACATCGTGCAGCATTTCTTTTCTATGCTGTGGAAATCCCAAGCTGTACGTGCACAGGATTCCCTCTCACCCTGCAGTTGTGGAGGATCGTTAGTCAGCAGGCTGCAGACAGCTGACTGAGCTCACTGCTCCTTGCCAACAGGAGAAAGATTGGAAATCTTTCGAAAACCACCGAATACCTCTTTAACACTGGGATTCTATAAGGAAAAACCATGCTGAAAATCCAAAATTTATGAGCACTAAGTAAAATTACTTTAACACAAGCAGAAAAATTCTGTTTTCAACACTGTCCTGTTTGCCTTCTGTGGCAAAATCTGTGATAAAGTTTTTAGGTCCCTATAGACCCATTTATGGAATATTCTCATGAGGGAATTCTCACTTTCCAGCTGTTTTCAGTACAAAAAGCTGAAGTTATTTTACTAGAACTAATATATTCTTGAAGTCTTTATAGCAGTTTCTCATTGTATACCAACACTCCTCCCTTTCTCTCCTGTGCTTTCTACTTCCAGCTTCGTGGAAAGCAGACCTTTTGCAATTGCCTTTTCTATTTTTAAGGCTCTTAGTACTTCTCAATTGCTACTCAAATACTGTTTAATAGAACAGCATTTTTTTAACAAACAAAACAAAACAAAACAAAAACGACAAAAAACACGTTTTCTTGCCCCAGCTAGTTCTTTAAAAGATAATTAGTTTGTTTATACCAAGTAAACATTACCACTAATCTTCTTGTTATAGAAACTTAGGTTCACTCTTAAGCTGTTCAAAAGATAAAAGGCAAAAAACACTCAGTAAGGTAAGGGAGGTAAACATAAGTCTACTAAATGATGAAACATGAATCTAATTACCCAAAGCGATGATGGTGTGCAAGTCCAATGCACACCTACACTTCATTCTGGAAATGGAAAAGACTCAAAGACTAACAGAGAACAAAACGCTGTGCTTGTGATAAAACACACGCAAGCAGACCTGTTTGTCTGATCCTGTACAGAAACCCACGTGATCACAGCCTTCAGTGAGTCCGTGAGATGACTCAGATGTCAGCCATCTATTATTCCACTTATCTGTATTTCATATGTAAATACTGAATATTTACAGCTGAGCAGAAAATTTTGTTTGTTGTACTAAAACTACTTCTTTGAACAACCTGTTGTGACCAACTTCCATTCCATGTTTGATCTCTAGAAGTTCACCTACCTGCAGCACACAGCAGAAGCCGATTCCAGGAGCTTTTATTATTATTACATCATAAAGTCTGCATATTATTACAAAGATGCGAGTTTAGAAATACGTTTTGTGTAAATCAGCCAGTTTGGGTGGCTTCTTAACTGACACATTTACCAAAATATTTACTCTGGATTAATCTCAGCTTTACGCACAATAGATATTTTTAGCAGCAGTACGTTTTATTGGCCAATAATTCCATTTAGCGAGTTGTTTGTTTCTTCTGGGTCCAGGTGACACTTCTGGAATGAGGGAGGATGTTTTCCCGTGGAAGATGATAAAACCGCAGCCAGTTGTGTACAAAGGCTCAGGGCGGCTGGGAGGCGCTCCTTTGCATGGCGTCAATCAATAGGTGGCAGCATTCACCCAGTTCTTCCGACGCCTGATGTGGTCCACAGTAGCCACGCACGGTATCGCATTGTCCCAAGCAAACACTGCCCAGCGTTTCGCTGCAGGCGGTATTTCAGTCGGAAGCTCATCCTCCCTGCACAGCACACAACGTCTCTCCCTTCTTGTCACCTTGTGCTTCTGCTCCACGGAGCTGCTGAGAGACGCCCAGCAGATCCAGCAGCCGTGTGGGAAGTTTGGAGCTGACAAACACACTCAAACTTTTGGAATTTTAAAGCTTTGCATGAAGCTTGATTTTAGTTCCAGTCACTCAATGGAAAAACTGTCATCATCTTTAAAGACAAAACTGTATTTTAGGCTGTTAATAAACCTCCGTCATCAGTTCTGGCTCCCACACATCTCCATATGGGGTCATGCATTAGAGCCGGGCAGGCCGGCTGCCTGGGAAGGGGATCATCACCTCCTCCCTCCGCATGCAGTGCAGCCAGGCCTGCTCTGCCTGGCATCTGTCTGCCCTCTCCTGTCAGAGATCTGTGACAAGGAAGGTGGCTAAGGTGCTCCTGAAATTAAATACTGAGAATATCTGCATCCCTCCTCCATGAAACCAAAGGAATACAGTGAGAAGGATAACCTCCCATCCTCCAAACAGGCCAATAAATGCATCTTGCTCTGCTTCTTCACTTATTCTTTCCTTCAAACTTTCATATATATATAAACTACTGTAGTAAATTCCAGCTCTGGTTTTGGCAATTTCTGCCTCCCTGGCTCCATGTTTACCTATCATCTTTCACACTTACTCTTTTGCCAATTTGTTAATTCTCTGTCCTATTCCCTGGTTTCTTGTGTTTCCTCAAGGACATTGATCTGAGTCTTACTTTTTCACTAGTTTCTTTAGCCAACGTTCTTGATCCAAATCCATAGCAAATAACCCATCATCCACAGAGACACAGAAGTATTCAGTATATTCATAAAGAAGACAAATATTTCCCAGTTCATCAGTCACAGATGTGATCAAACTCAAGAAATTCTGAAATTGTGAGTGAAGAAAAAATAATTGTGTTTGGACTAACCTTAGAAAATTTCCCAATGAAATAATTTTCCCCCAGCGTTTTGAAATATTTGAGACACCCATGATGTAAGCGACTGAAAGCAGCGGAGCTTGGCAGCCCCAGCTCCTCCAGGCTTCCTGCCTCAGCCGTGGTTCCTGATCTAGAGCCCTTGCAACCCAACCTGGATTTCAGCACAGCTGAGCTCTGTTGCAGGGCTGCTCCTGGCAGATCCAACAGGCCGAGCCCTGCAGACTCCAGCTTCTACAGGAAGGGCTGTGGAGGCCAGGAGTTCTCCAGCTTTGGGGCAGCCAGCATGGCAGCAGCACCTTGGAAATGAGGAGCTGGATTGCTTGTTTTTCAGCTGAATTAGAAAGAAACCAGAACCAGTTGGTCAGGATTCTTTAAAGATGTCACAGTGTTGGTTTTTTCTCTGGTCTCTTTAACTGGAAAATTTCTGAAACACTTCCATCCTGGCTGCAGAATGAGGCTTGAGGTTTTTGAGCTACAAAGCATTTAAGTCAACCATGATCATTTGAGTGTAAGTTAACATAAACAAAGATACATTAGCATAAAGAGTCCATCAGATCCTTAGAGATGTACCTACTTGAGACCAGGGCTCAAAGAGCAGCTGCTGTTGCCTGAAGGATCCACACACATCTAAGAGCTGCTCTCTAACATGGCTTAAGGGAGCTGCTGTCCTATTGCAAAACCAGTATAGACCAGAGCTCCTTTTGCTGATGGTTCCTGCAATTGTTCTCCATATTAGGAAAAAAACTAACATTCAGTCTTCAGAAAGCTTATAAAAGTACACACAGGCCATTAGGCATAGCTGAAGATACTGTTCTTTGAAGATACTGCTGTTCTTTGGAAATAAATTACCAGCTGAATATCACAGAAATAATGAAGATGTCAGCAACAACAGCACAACTGATGCTTTGTCAGTCTCCAGTTGATTATGCTATCACTCCATATAGAGATAATTTATGCCATGTATTGTTTGGCCATAACTACTCCCAGCTGCACTGCATTTAATTCAAGTTATAGCAGAACACTTCACAAACAGAAATTAACAAGCTTTTCATAGCCAGCAATTTCTAGATTAGGAATGGATAAAGAAAGAGTAGGATTCACCAAAACTGAGCATAGAGCAAAGCTGAACAGAGGCAGACACACACAGTTCCTGAGAATTTTTTTCCCCAATTAAGAAAAGGCACTCCTTCCAAGGACCAGAACAAGTTTAGGGTTGTGATACTGCCACTGGAGAGACCAAAAGGTATTTAAAATATACAGACAAGTTTCCTTTTAACTTTCATGTGATTACAATGATTAACAATATAATAATTAACATGCACCCTCAGAATTAGCTCTGTCTCCTTGTTCTTCAAATCTTGATGTATAAGAGCATTTATTATGAAGCTAAATGTTGTGTCTGACACACACTATAGAAGTGCCATTATTTTTCACACTGAGCAAACAAGCAACTTTGATAACAGAACAACCTCCTACTACTCTGTGAACCCCAAACGCTGTTTATTACCCCAAACAGATGAAGAGCAGCTTGTTTGTCCTGATGAAAGCACAAATCTGTTTAGGGGCAATGATCTCTAACAAGCATTTTATAGTGACAGAATTGGACATTTCAAAACAACAATAAAGTACCATTTCAGAAAAGCCTTTGACACAGAGGATGAGGAGAAAGCACAGCAGGACTGTTCTCAAAGCTGAACATTTACCTAGGGAGAACAATCTTTCTCGGTTGTGACAGACTATTCCAGATAACAATCCAAAATAAGAGCCTATTTCTCTGTACTATCAGACAGTGAACCACAAGCAGATCTGCCTCACTGGGCCAGCTTTTGTGAATACCCTCTTGGGTCATCTCTGCAACAGAAACTTTGCACTCACTGGCTGTAATAGTTTTGCACAGGCCAGAATTCGTACCGCAATCATTTGGTCTGATGTGACTGTTCATTTTAGCTAAAATGAAAATAACTCTGGAGTTCCAAACCAGCGTCTCACAGGAGCAATACAAAAACCTAAACAGAATAGAAATGATTGCTGTGAAGTAACTCCAAGCTTCCCCACGCAATTCTATTTCACAGTGAGTTGAAATGAACATTTAAAACATTCATTTTTTGCTGAGCATTTATGCTGGCTTTCAAATCATGAAGATTTAAGGTTTACTACAGAGGCAATTTACATGCACATAAAAGAGTACTTGTTAAACATTTTCTAGAATTTACAGAACAAGGACATGCTATTATGTTTACTTCACGTGGGGTACAAGGCACAGCAAAATAAGTGACAGAGCTCAGAGTACGTGACTGTTCTTTCCTGAAGTTCAGCAGCTCAGTAAAAGTAAAATAAAAATACAGGAAACACAACCAAATCTTTTCTGTATAGAATTTAGGAGATCTGTAACATATTCTGCCAAATATCATTACTTTTTTATTGCAGTGGTGGCTTTTGGAATATGTAGCAGTTAGCATAGCAGTTCATGAAAATATCCTCTCATCACTTTTCTTAAGACCTAAAACCAACCAATCTGTTTCCTTTCAGTTATTTATGTCAGCCTCTCAGTAAGCAATACATATTATTACTAGTCCTCACTCCATCACTCCATTCCCACATGAATCAAACCTCTGCTATCACAAACCAGAACAGAAGCGATCATCGCTTTCCAGTGACCACATACTATTAGGATGCATTTGGTTCACAGCTTCCCCTTCCATTCCTCCATCTTCCTCATGTCCTAGTGAATGCATCCATCAGCAACAAATGGGAGAAATGAATCTGAAATAAAATCCTACTTTTCACCCTCTGTGGCAGGTTGCAGCAAGCCATTACTCTATTTTCTAGTGGTGCAAACAAAAATCTGATTCAGCCCATAAGATTCTTGGGTTTATTATCCACATTCTCCTTCATCATCCCATGAGAAAGAACAATGCTGGCTAACGTGGGGGCAGAAAAGCATTTTGCTCTGCTAACTCTCACAAGTGCAGGGATACACTCCATGTAACAGAGCCAGCACAGCCTGCTCCAAGTCCCACTTTGAGCTGGTACAGTCCCCCGCTGGATCTCACTTCAATGTACTTTCATTCTTCAACTCATTAAAATGTGATGCCCCAGAGTACAGAGACATAGTTTTGGAAAGCCTTTGTGATTCCAACCTCACTTATCCTACAAATTTACAGTACCAGGAAAGTTTTGTCAGCTATGTGTTCACTAACATCCCAGATACATTGAGCAAGTAGAAAAGAACATTAGAAATTGACTTCAGAAAGTGTAGAAAAAACAACAAGCTGCTATAAATAACAGCTTTTTTATTATAAGTGAAGTACTTCACTTATAAAAGTACATCACCATCCAGATATTACATTAGTTAGCGTTGTCACAGGAGACAGATGGGGAGAATAATTCACCGTTGTGCTAAAGGACTGAATATTGATTTGAAAACAAGCACTTGTGATCCAATGAAACAACATTCTCTGCAGCCAGAAGTGCTAATCTGACTTCATCTGAATAGAGTTAATAAATATTTGCAAAAGCAGGCAGCTTAGCTGGCTTAATTATGAAAACACTTGCTTTTCACCTTTAGGAATTCATTTCCTCCAGGGTCAGAGTTTGGTGGTCTTACAGCTATCACACAAACTCCTATACAATTTGGAATGATTAATGAACCTCTGTTCAGAAAAATTATGAGGTGTTACAAGGAGAAATTAACTGAATGCACACAATGTGAACACTCAGTGAGTACCTTTTCTCTGCATTATTTTTTATAAAACCAGGACCATGTTATCTATGAAATAAATGCACATACACTGACCATGTACACAAGAGACATACAAACCCGCACAGATAATCTCTCGTATAGTGATGTAGTCAGCCTCTCCTACAGGCACATGCCCAAGTTCAAATGAAATATTAAATAGCAGACAAGAGAATTCTGCAGTCCATACAATGTAGATGTTTAGAACGACTGCAGCTGAAAATACAGTTGGTATCTCTGAAGATAGGATTCTGGCCCAGTACCTGCTCTGGGTCTCTATTCACATTTACAAATAGGCTCTGATGAATCAGGCTCTATACAACAGCTAGTGCTGTTGCATAGGAGGAAGTCAGGAGCAAGCAGAAGGTTCAAGAAACCCAAACAGCAGCACCAGTTTCAAATCACTACAGCCACCTCACTGCTAGGTATCTCCCAGTGTCCTTCTCTCAGCTATGGATCTGCACTACATATAACCCAGTGGTAATTGTGACACTTAGATCATCACTATTAGTGAACTTCTAGTAGATTCTTTGAAGGAAGAGTTTTATTCAGTCCTCTAACAGAAAATCTTGTATTCTAATACTCTGGATGAATATGATCTATTTGAGTGTCCCTATAGTAAAACTACATGCATACATTTTTACATTAAGGATCAACTCAAAACAGACTGAAAAATATCCACTATTGGTACGAAGGATGAATTTGTCTCTTCTGAAAAGAACTTTGCTGAAAAACAAAAGGTAGAACTGATTATTCTGGCAGCATTAAATGAGAATCATGTAAGATTCCTCCTTAGAATTGCTAGCATGGATTGTGTTACTGTGCACTGTTCAGTGCAAATAAAGTGGGTTTTCTTGAAAGAAATATTGAACTACAGAGAACAAAACTCAGGCTGATAAGAACTACTTCAACTTTGAATCACAGATAATAGGCAATCATGGAAAGTAAAAGAAATCACTATTATTTATTTTTAAAAGCAGCATTCCAGACTGAAATAACCCCTTGTACAATATGCATGGGAGAATTTGTACACGCTTTCACACTCACGTCAGTACTAGCACGGTCTTCTGTCCTGGGTGGAATTACTGTGGTAGTTCTAGTGTTCTAGTA